CTTCCTTCCTTCCTTCCTTCCTTCCTTCCTTCCTTCCTTCCTTCCCAACGCCCAGAACCCAAAGCCTTAAAACTGGCACTTCAACCATTCCAAAAACAGACCTAAAATATATCCCCCCATTGCAAAAACGCAAAACCCAACCCAAAGGCCTGGCAGAGACGGGCAGGACACAACCACGGCCGCCGCTGTTTATCTAACCTGCAGGCCGGCACGGCCACCCCCTCTCGCCCTTCGCCCATGCTCAGGGGCACTCTTAAGCACCGCAGCAAACCCTCCCGAGACGAACGGCCTGGCTCGGGGGGCGGTGGGGGGAGGGGAGATGGACTCCCCCAGCGTTGGCTGGCTCACCTTTGTCTTCTCACGCCACCCTTTGCCCAGATTGTTCAGGTGCCCTGGGCAAAGGTGCGGGGGGGAGAGAGAGAGAGAGAGAGAGAGGTGGGGCATGAGTTATGAGGGGCAGAAGAGCAGGAAGGAGGAGAAATGGAGTCGTGCCCCTTCTCGCCCGGGGGTGTGGGGGGGGGAGAGCCAGCTAGGTCTGGGTGGCGGCCACTCCCTGGCATTTGGGTGCCCGCCAGGAGGCCTGTTTGCCTTTGCCAGGACAGGGGCGGGGGGGGAAAGGGGGGGTGGCTGGATAGGTGGGGGCAGCAGCAGTAGGCCACCCCACCCCCCCTCTCTCTGCCAAGCAGGCTCGACCGGCTAAGCAAGGGGTGGGCAGGCCGGGTGGAAAAAACTGCCAGGCGGGCGTGGTGGGGAACCGAGGGCATTCTGACCGAAGGTTTAGGTGCGGCACCCAGCAGGGTTGACACCCCCAGCTATGCCAGCTCAGCCCGGCAGCCCTTTGGCTGGGCACGGAACCAAAAAAACTAGCATCCAAGACTTCTCAGACATCGAGGCTAGCAGCCGCTCCGCGGCCCGGGCCGGTGTCCCACTCTTTTCCCACCGTTGGCATCCGCCCTGGCAGGGCCCTCGGGCATTGCGTGCCCATCCTTGGCTCCCCCTCCCCCCCCCCCACCCCGGATTTAATCCTGGGAGATTTTGGGTCTTTTGCACAAGCTGTTCCATTCGACAAAAAAACCCGACGCCCAAGCTGGCACAAGCTCAGCCCGGGCTCAGCCCAGTTTTGTAAAAATTACAAAATAATAATAATAATAATAATAATAGAACGCTAGAGATTAAACCACGATTGCTAAGGGTGGGTTTTTTCCTCCTCCTTTGTCTCTCTCTGTCTCTGTCTCTGTCTCTCTCTGTCTCTCTCTCTGTCTCTCTCTCTCTCGTGCCACATTCTCCGGTGGGTGAAACGGCTGCCTGGCTTTGTTTAGGTTTGGCTCCGCGGGGCTGCGGCCTTTTGGAATCCCTGACTTGAGTTTTGCACAAGGAAAAGGGACATAAATCCAAGGCCCTTTTTGCAGAATCTCCAGGAAATTGGTTTTTTTTTCCTGTTTTGTGTGTGTGTGTGTGTGTGTGTGTGTGTGTGTGTGTGTGTCCGGAATGTTTGGCTAGGAGGAACTAAATCCCGACCCCGTTTTTGCCCACCGAGAAAGAACAAAAGTATGACGTCCGGTACGAGCCAGGAGGTGTCTGGGAGAAATTGTCCGCAAAATCAAAATGGGTCCCATTCTTTTTTCTTTTTTTAATACAGAGTTTTTTCCTGGTGAATATCTGCCTGGCTGTCGGCGTAAAAGCAGTAAATCCCAGCCTTAACTTTGCAGTAAATTCAGACCTGCCTTGAATTGTTTTCCTGAATTGCACCGGGAGCAGCCAGAAGTTTCCTGAAACTAAACCCAGCACAGGCTGACGGACACATCGCGTTAAAGAACAGGTAGTCCTGAGCTTACAATAATCTGTTTAGTGGCCGTTCAGGGGGAAAAATTGACCGTTTTCCCACACTTACGACCGTTGCATCATGTGATCAAAATTGGCTTGGTGATCGGTTCACAATTTGTGACGGTTACGTGATCACCTTTTGCGACCTTCGGACGAGCAAGACTCCACGGGGATGCCAGTTTCGCTGAATGACCGGGTGCCTAACTTAACAACCGCAACGATTTGCTTCTTGCACGGAACAAAATAAGACCAGGAAATCCAGAAAATCAAGTCGGCTATTTGAAGTTCTCAATGAATATACGGTCGTTTTTACCTTTTTTGGCAACCACGGGAGCTGTAGTCACACGTTGCGGGAAACCAGGATAGTGAATGGAAAAAAAAAACCAACCACCACCAAGGAGGAGACCCTAAACCTGGTTTGGCATTTATCTTGGTTAATCTGGATGGGAGCACGTCACGTGCACCTTGCCTGCTGGCGTTGCCATCCCTTGAGAAACCTGGAAAAACAGGTTGAGTTCCAACTCAACTAGGTCACTTCTCCCAGCCACGAGAAAACCTCGCCGGAGTTTGCAAAACGTCCTCTAGGAATTTTGCCAAAACAATCAATCCGACTCCGAGAGAAAAAAAAAACGCGGCTATTGTGCACGAGAAAAGGATTTAGGACGGACAAGCTGGCATGAATTGAAATATCAAAGACCAAGGGAAGCCTCCACAGACAGACCTCCAAGAGGCCCAATTTGCAACATTTCAAAGAAATCACAGTCAGTCTTCAACTTATGACCACAACGGAGGCCAACATTCCCATCGCTAAGTGAGACAGCTAAGTGAGTTTTGCCACCGTCATAAGCACAGGCCACTTGCCAAGGGTCTGAATTTGGATCAAGGGGACGCTGCGGCGGTTATAATTGTGGAAAACAATTTTAAAAGTCCCTTTTGTCAGTGATGTAACTCTGAGCGGTCATTAAATGAACTGATGTAAGTCTAGGGTGATCTGAATATCGGTCTGAGCCGGGTGACTGATATCTCCATTTTTCTCTATTTTTTTTAAAAAGCGCTAAAAGCCAGTGGGTGGCAAGGTGAAAAAATAAAAACACTCTGCACGTTTTCAGAGATTACTTTAGTTTTGTTTGTGACTCTAGGACTAGAGATTTTAGCCGAGAATCCGACATACGATTTGAAAAAATGAGAATGATGGTTTAT